TTAGTGTCATCAAATTGCAAGTGTTTTATTATGTAAAAATACTAACGATACATTCTGCATTAAATGATAGCTTAATAGCGCTGTTACAATACCACACTATTGCAGGAAAATGTCAATTTTCCAAAATAATTTTCATATCTTTTTGAAAGGTTATTGCAATCTTCTTCCCTCAAACCTTGGAGGAGGAGTGTCTCTCACCTCGTATACAACGTTCATTAGCATATACTCTCCCTTCATACTGGCCAGGTTTTAATTTCAAAGTCCAGGTTTTAATTTCAGAGTCCAATTGAGACTTGGCTTGTTTCGGAACTGTAAGAGAAATAACCATGATGTGTTGTCTGAAGAAATCCAGTCTTTCAAACAAAATGTTTGAAAATACAGATGAAAACTTTCTCTGCGTGTATTTACATTCTTGGGGAGGAAAAAGTCCCAACAAATGTTGGCATCCAAAATTAATCTTCCCAAGTAATTATGTTGCAAATAAATATGGAGTAAGGGCAAGAGCTTTTTTTGTTATTCTGCTTTTAGGGTTTTGTACCTCTCTCCCCGCTGCTTTCCATCAATGTCCTACTTTGCCTCAGCAATCTTTTGGTGTTTTTTCCGGTTCACTGAAAGTGCTATAGAGTTTAACATTTTGACAGTGTGAAAATCCTGACTTGCACAGTAGACTAAACCTTAACTTTCTGTTACTATGATGATAGCTGCTTTAAATTCAAAAAGATGAAAGATACTGTAAAGCTTTTTAGACTGATCTCCATTGCCACATGAAGTGCTTAATTCTTTAATTCATGGAGCTAATTTAAAAGCTAAGGAAATCTTGCCAAAAGTACAGTATTTTCATTTTTAAAAATTTTTTTCACGTCACGCTAGCTTGCTCTAACAGGAGAGCTTCAGCAGGATGAAAATAATGTTTTAATGCGCGAGATGTCTCCTAGACACAATCATTTCCTAACTGTCCTCCCTAAAGCCTCATTTGAGGAAGGTGTGCAAATCAAGCCGTGCTCACTTTTTTCATGTGCTGTTCACAGTGTAACTTTAGAGCATATGGATAAGTAATCATCTGCCACTTGTCTGTGTTAAAATATTTGGAGATTGACAAAGCTGCCGCTTGAGTTAATGAGGGCGCTCGAGCTTCTATCCCTGAAGTAAAAGGCCTTCAAAAAGCAGCTTTGTAGAAGAGCTATAAAGAGCTTAAAGCTGCCCCTTCGAACAGCAGTAGGAGCTGTTTAAACCATCTGACAATGCTGGGTGCTTCCAGTATGGAGAGTTTCTTCCCTCTGCTGGTTGAATGGCTCCAGCTCTTCTCACCCCCCTTCCCACTGTCTGTTCAGGCTAACCTCTCCCAACCCCTCCACCAATGTCTCTACTTTTACCTTCTCTGCAGCTTTTACTTTCTCCCGTATTCTTCTGTACAAATTATGGCACTAACAAAGTTCATAAATAATAAATATGACTATATCCCTTCTCCCTACTTCTAGCCTACTTAAAACAGTCTTTCTCATAGCAAAGTCTTTGTACGGTGTCTAGCAGCACTGCAGCATACTCTCAGCCTTGGCATGGTTATTAGCGTATAAACATAGGTTTAGTATAAAAATTACTCACAATATTAAAAAATGAGCAACAGATTAAACCTTCCCTTTCTAGAGTATTGTGTCCTTGCATCTTACTCTAGTTTCCCATGTCTCCTTCCTAAGAAAAGACCTGAAAACTGTGTGTTTGTTATCAGTATTATATTTGTCCTCCTCATTTTTCTCAAATGTGGAACAATATTTTAACTTCTTCCCATTCTATACTATAATAGAGTACTACTATACATAGTAAAATACAATGGTACTCCTGTTCTTTGGAAAGGTTGAAGATTTTCTGGTAGGTGTGATTCTGATACATTCTACCCTTTTTTAACGTGCCAAAAGTATGGAGTCATTGCATTGCAGTTAATAAGGGAAGGGAAGCTGGGGAAGATGATCCAGGCCACCAAAGGTCTGAATTGCCTTTGCATGTATCCAGGCCTGTCCATAGCATTATGTCAGCATGAGGAAATTAGGTTCATAGTTTAGATACTTCAGCTGGATGCTTCAAGTTGAATGCGTCTAGGTGGTACAAAGCTCCTGGTCATTGTTACACAAGCTTGTGTGTTGTTTTATGTTTTCCTGACTCTTTCTGCATCTTTCATGGCACCTACACTAGGCAAAGAAAGATGTACAGTATGTAATTAACTGCTAAACATATGATGATTGTCTGCCAACTATTTTTAAAAGGCAAAACAGTATTGAATTAAAAAAAAAACAAAACAAAAAACACACAAAAAACCCAACAACAAAAAAAACACCTTTTCTACTTTTCTGTCTGTCGGGTCACTAGTTAACAGCAATAATCAGATGCTGGCTTTACTCCTCCTTACCCCTTACCTTTTAGGAGCTTTTTTTCCTAGATTTCAAACTCTGTCCTTATCTGACTGGAATTGGCAACAAGTTTAAAACCTCTCAGGTAGAGGTGCTAGCAGATTACATAGGCTTGGGAAACTTGAATACAAAAAAATCAGCTTACTTTCAGCCCTGGCAAGAAATGCCAGTATGGCTTCTCTTCTTTTATTTCCTTGGAAGAAATCCAAGTTGACATTGCTTGAAATGGGATGTGTTTTCTCCTTAATAATAAAGCCTGGGGATGAAATACAAAGAATTCCAGGTTAAAGGGCTTGGTTTGCCAGTTAAAAGCAACCAAAATATGATTTCAAAGGGAAATGGTAAATAGTATTAATTACACTTCATCATTAGAAATTGTGAGCAAACCAGAGACTTTCAATGCTATCTTATTTTGTAGTTTTGGGGTTTTCCCCCCCCCTTCCCCCCCCCCGCCATAGTCTTTCAACACAATGTATTTTTTGTTTTAAAACTTTGGGAAATATCCATGACATTTGTGGCTGTGTTTCAAAGAAAACTACGGACACATCTGAAATATGCTTGAAATCAGGAGTTGAGGGGCCGCGTTGAATGGGCTTGCAGAACTAGTGACGGGGTAGCAAGCAGTATCAATAGGCTATTTTAAGACTTTTTTTCTTTTTTTTGGAACGGAATAGGCTAATGCTGCTTTAAAAAAAAAAAAAAAAAAAATCTCTTGGTTGCAATTATCTTGGCATAGATGATTTCCAAAAAGTGAACCATTTCCATTTGCAAAAGAAAGCAACTTATGTGGACTATCCAGGCCAGAAGAAAAGGCCGTGATTCTGTAATAGGCAAGTGTGTAGAGTACTGCATTGGTCTCTTGAGAACGTGCAGCAGAAACATATAACATTGGGAACCGTGATAGATGGGGTAAACCTTTCCAGATGAAAAGGGATTAATGCACTGAGTAGACAAAATAAGAGGAAATTAGCAAAATCAAGTAAATGGGGGGGAAAAAATGTATCTGAACAGGGTTAAGTGCTAAATGAAAATAAACCTGATAAATTGCAGTGAAGAAAAAGACCTAACTTCTGTTCACAAAGAATATGTATTCTTATATATAAAGTAAAAGTTACTCAGTCTGCCTCAAAATAGGAGAAACAGATGAACTTTCTGCTCCAGAAAGGTTGAAATGAGCCTTTTGAAATCAAAGCTGAATCCAAGATGCTTCTTGCTATTGACAGCCTGTTTCATGTTCACCTTTTCTGATGAAAATATGTGCAAATCTCAAATGGAGTATACCCAGGCACTTGAGAAACACTCCATCCAGAGCAGCCCGACTGCTTGCAGGCGTACGAGGGTTCCTGCCTTACAGACATAACTGCCACTTCCAAAGGGCAGTTGTTCTGGAGGAGGTTAGAAGTTGTACGGTTACAAATACCTTCATTCTGCCTCCTATTTCTCTTGTATTTTACAATTGCCTGTTTGTTGGATTTGAGAGATAATGAAGTAATTTAAAAGATTAATTGGTTTCATAACTGAATTTGCATTCCAGGGATTCTGAAATTGCAGGAAACTATTCATGCAAAAAATGCCTTTGTGTTAATTCTAGATAGCTCTATAAATGTGAAACCTGATTGGTTTTATGACTGTAGCCTTTAAACAAATATCTCATCAGTCTTCAACATGATTAATTACTTTAAACATTTAGGGTGAGATTAATTTGTCAAAGGTGATTAAGATGTTTTTATCTAATATTTTTCAATGCAGAATTTAGAATTTAATTAAGATGTTGCTCTCCAGCTGTCTTTTACATGGAAGAAAATATTCTCTTTGTATACTTGTTTAATTAACAGTAGTTATTGACAATAGATCTATTGAAAGTTTATACTGTAGCTGAGAGAAAAAAGATTAGTAGTTTGTAATTTTTTGTGTTTAAACCAAATGGTATAAACAAACTCCTACATTCCTTGTTATAGAGCTTAGCCTGGTGATTTCACGTGTCTTTTTCTTTATGTTGATAGATCTCAAGGCCCACATCATGACAATATTCCATAATGGATATCACTTTGTGGTGCAGTGTAACCCTCTATAATTTTTCCTCTGGCATAATAGGATTTTGGAAATTGGGGAAAGATATTTACAGAAACAAATGTCACTTGCTTTTCCCCCAAGTCCTGACTTTTTTCAGATGCAGCATGTGTGTTTTTATTTTGTTTTGTCCTAGAAGGCATTAAGTAATTACATAGATATCATTGCTTTGCTGTAGATTGACGTGGGTGTGGAAATGTTAGTTCGTAAAATACTGATTTAATGTATTGGATGCGGCTTTCTCATAGTTTCTTCTAGTTAATTTGTATCTGTTGTTCGTGAGATTGGTTCATATTTAAACTTAATTCCTCATATAGCTGTTTATAGTTGGAATGTTTCCAGGAATTTCTTTAGGATGAAATCTTCTATTTTATTAAAAACACACTAGACAGTTTCCAAGCTTGGGATATATAATTTGATTTCCCTTCAAGTTTCAAACATATTTTCTTAGAATTTAGGATCCAGTGAGCTTGACCTATCTCAGCTTCCTTAAATTTAATTTTACTTTTTGTTCCATGTTGTTTGTAGGTGGTCTCCCTTTCCCACTTTCCTGGTTGCACAGTGGGACTTCTCCCACTGCTGCTGATGCCCCAGATGGTCTCCTTGCAGGAGGAGCAGCCTCAGCCGTTCTGCAGGTGAGTAGAGGATGGCCTCCATCGGGATGGAGGCCAGTAGTGCCTCTCCTCCTACCTGTTCTTCTTCCGCTCTTCCCAGGCAGCACGTGAATTCCCCTCAACCTTTGACTTTATGGCATGCAACGTTTGTATTTCCCTCCAGGTTACAGGCATGGTAGAGGTCTTTTGACATACGTTTTCATCTGGAGAAAAACTCTAATAGCCTCCCAGTTACGTAGTTATCAGACTGTGCCTTTCTGCAGCTACTGGTACCTTTCTGCAGCTCTTGGTTAAAACGTTAACTGCTTTCTTCTCCTTGCACTGAGAAAGAAGCATCTGTTCTCATGTGCCTTTCAGTCTCTGTGGTTCCTTCCTTCATCGGTAATCTTGGTCACAAAGCTAAAAGACCACTGACTGTTACAGATCATGGCTTGAATGTGTTCTTGTGCTTGCTCTGTTTCTTCTTCTTGGTTGATCTGGCTCCGACGAAGTCCTGCTTTCTTAGTAGAAATTGGTGGAGAGGTGCAGAACTGCTCCTTAAGAATGGGAGAGGGAAGAACAAACAAAACCTCATAGGGTTTTGGTTTTGTTTGTTTGTTTTTTTAAGATCTTTTACAGTACTTCATAGGGCTCCTGTAACCTGTATGTTTTTGGAGGGGCTTAGCTAACCTATTATTTTCTTTTAGTTCTACCCCTTTTTTAAGACCAGTTTCTTATCTTTTGTCTGAAGGGGTTCAACGCGGTACTTACTCATTGATCATGAAGCTTTTCTTGTTGCTGGGAAGTGGTGCTTGATTAAACAAGTTAGACAAGCTTTTTCAAATAAACAAGTTTTCTCTTCCCTAGAATGGTGGGATTGAAAGTCACCTTCACACTGAGTGTTACTTGGTTAGCTAGTAGTTCCATTTAGGATTTACGTAATGCTGTCTTTAAAATAAACCACTACAGTTCAAAAGCTGTATGGTAGCTGTTAGTACTAAATGAACATCTGAGAGGTTCATGTACTCATGATTTAGCAACAATAATCTGTTAAAGCCTTTAGTAAGTGTGTCCTTGAGTTTGTGGACCAGTACTTGACGGTAGTTTGTGGAGACTGCAAAGATGCCTAAATGAGAGTCTGAAGAAGGTCATGGTAAAAGGACCGTTGCTATTCCTTAGCATCTTCCACCATTATTTAAAATATAACACCTCACATCCACAAAAAAGTGTGTGAGCAAGCAAAGTAGAACAAGAGAAGACTTCTGAAGTAAATGTCCTTTGAGGTGGAGAAGGCTTCCAGGGTTTCTGCATAAGTTATAAGTATTTTATTTTATTTTATACAAAGTTCTAGTATTTCAGTATTTTTAAGAGTAGTTTATTTATTAGAATCTCTGTTCTTTTGCTTAATCAAATAGTACTCAATTTTTTGAGTACTCAGTATTTGATTTGAGTACTATTTGATGCTATTCCGTGTTATACACAAGGCTGTGGTCAGTTAAACTAGATTTAGTGAATCCTTTCTCAGGGCAACATAAGTAAAGTTATGTTAAATTCAGATTTTGTAAACAATGCTTTTTTTTTTTTAAAGAGATTAACCTTTTTCATGTTAATTTGGAGCTTTTCTCATCTCAAGTTGTAATTGATGTGAAAACTCTGAAGAAATTTTGTCCTCAATTTCTTGAGGCTTTTTATGGCTGACGTTTCTTGATCTCTAGCTCTACATTGACCTTGACTGTACATTACTACTTGTTACCGTTTATTTTTGCTCTGTACTTAATTTTGATATGAAAAATCCTTCCAGAAAAAGAGTATTGTCTAATATGTACTGTTTGGACTGTTGTCCCATCTAGTGTTAAGTAATGTATTGCTGTCATTGTATTAATACGTTAGAAAATACAGTAGGTTAAAAAAAAAAAATCAGTTACTGATACCATCTAGGGTGGTAAATCATAACAGATACTATTTGGAGATGCTTGTGTCTTGGTTTTTTAATAATTTCTGCAGAGAGCAGTAGCACTGTCGTATGAGTATAACAATGAGTGGTAGTGTTGTTATAGTTATATTCTAAGTGAATGATGTTACATTTTTATGCGTCTTGTTCAAACTAGTCTCTTAATACAAGTAGGAAACTAAATGGTATCTGTACTCAAATTATATTTTGTCATCCTTTTCATCAGTCTTTTGGTTGATACAGGGTTTACGACTTGCACCTCTCTGTACTTGATCTGTTACTAGAGCAGAGACGTTCATTAATTTGACAATAGTAGATATAAGCTGGAAGTAGACAGAATTTAGATCTAGTATCTAAGGGCGTTTTGTTGATGACCTTTCTAATTCCTGTATGATATCCATCAAATAAGTGAGAGAAATCCCTGGTACTCAGGTATACCTTACTACCGATTCTGGGTAACTGGATGGTATATTAGATAGACACAAGATTTGAGGGGGGAAAGATGCCCTTATCTGTTATAACAGATATAATCAGTGCACAAATACCACATCCACATAGTCAATGTAGTTATTTGGTGTCCATGAAAGGAATCCCTTTCCATGTTAAGAAATGTCTGATGTGAAGATTTTTGGAATTTCATTGCACAACTACGTCCCTTCACTCTGTGTGGAATGATCTTTGCAGTATGAAGCTAAAAATTTCACATTTCTCACAAACATATCTTGAAAGTGTTTCTCACTATCAGACTGAAGACTGAAAATGGTATGAAAATTATCTTTGATGCAGATATTTTCAAGCCCATTGTAAAAAGTATGATCGGATAGAGAAATGAGTAGGTGTAGTGCTTGCAGTCGTCTGCAGTGCTCAACTCTCGGTGAGTGACAGGAGCCATTTCTGTTGCAGGGAAACTGGTAGTGGGCAGGTAGCCAGAACTGCTTTGGCTTGCTGAGACACCACTGAGGACCAGGATGCTGACCGAGTCCAGCTTGGGATTGTTTTGGGATGTAAGCGAGCGAGCAGCCCTGCCAGGTTTCCCTCTGCTCCGTGCGGTGCCATTGTGCTGCCTGCCTCTCGGTGAGTGACAGGAGCCATTTCTGTTGCAGGGAAACTGGTAGTGGGCAGGTAGCCAGAACTGCTTTGGCTTGCTGAGACACCACTGAGGACCAGGATGCTGACCGAGTCCAGCTTGGGATTGTTTTGGGATGTAAGCGAGCGAGCAGCCCTGCCAGGTTTCCCTCTGCTCCGTGCGGTGCCATTGTGCTGCCTGCCTGCAGCCGTTGCCGGCGGGCTGAATCTTTTCCTTGGACTGCCCTTTTGGCGAGATACGTATACTCTTTCCCTGGCACTGCCTTTAGGCAGAGATCCGTACTGTGGCGTTAACTCTCTTCTGTTTACTCTGCCTAGCATTAAGGGAGAATTTTGGTGTTGACTGCACCAGTGAACAAAAGCCATTTATACAGTATGATATTCCTTCTCAACTTTATTACCTCTTCCACGCCTTTAAAATTCCCCCAAACTAGGTTATTGCACATCTGATGGTAAATTTTGTTGGTAGCACAAGAGCTTGTTTTGTGGTTGATTCTACCTTCAGGCCGGGTTGTATCAGTCTCTTCAGTTGCTCAGTAAAACAGCGTCCTGGACTGTTTGATATTCTAGTAAGCTCTGCATATTTTATAACAACATCATCATAAAAAATAGCAGCAGAACTTGATTTGGATAATTTTTCCTCCTGTATGTGCTTTTATGGACAACGTGGAGGAGTTCATCATTTGTTTTGTCCCGGCAATAACATTTAATGGAGAAAGCATATGCTTGGAGCAGGTATGCTGGAAGAAGCTGAAGGTTGCTCCGAGGGTCGAATAGGCCACGACCCACTTGCAGTTTCATTTTGCTGTGCTCTGGACTGACTGTGCCCACCCTGTTCCTCAACGCCACACGCTGTGGCAGGTTTGTCAACACATTAGCTGTTTTTCTTCATCCTCCATGATGATAATGATGATGTCTGGTGCTTCTGCAAATGTAGCCACCTTCTTAAAAAGAAAAGGCTTTTTGGCTGCATCTTCTCTTTCTTAATTTCATGCAGCTTCTGTGATGCCGTTGGTCCTGTGGGGAGATCAGGCTCGGTTCATAAGGGGAGCACTTGTGGTGAATGCAAATGATTCTTGCTATGTGACATTGCCTGTTTGAAGATCTCGATTATTCTGTCTGCTGTGTGTTGCAGTTGTGCTGTTCCTCATGATGTAGCAAACATAATTAACCCTTCCCAAATTTGTTGTATGTCTGAGTAACTCTTGTCTTCAGACAAAACGAGTATTTCTTGTTCATTTACTTGTAGCTTGCTTCAGTGATGCCTCCTGAGAGACTCTCCCCATGGGAGGTGTTTTTGACTACCTCTTCAGGTACAATGCAAAAGCAAACACTTTTGAATGCAGCAGAGCTTTTCAGATTGATCTGGATGTGTGTTTCTTTCTCATCCACATTTGTGGTGATGCAGAGAATCAGAGTATGATTGAAGAGATTTGAATACTCTAGGAATATATATTTCAACGTGACAGTAGCTTGGTTTTTCTGAAGATACAGGTCTGGTAGCTCGCTCTTTTCCAGTGACACTTTATGCTTCTGATTTACAGTCAACAATACAGTAAACAGGACAAAAATCCACCAACACATTTTATAACTGTTATTAGTAGTAGCAGATGTATGAATAATATTGTAGCAAATTCAATGATCATTTCAGTGACTGGGTTTTCCAGGATGATAAAATGTTGTGGGTTTTTTTGTTTGTTTGAAATAAATAAATATATATGTATATTAAAAAAACCCTATACATATAGACCCGTCTGACTAAAATTTCGTCATATGATGTAGCACTGGTTCATAACCCTGATATCAGCTGCTTCACTGAAAGCCTTTGTATTTTATAATGTGAACTTCAGGGACATAAGAGGCTTCTGACGTAGAATACGGGATTTCTGTGTGTGTTTGAGGGGGGAGAGAGGGGTCTTTTTAGGATAAGCAGTATAGTTTATTGTTTTAGGCTTTTAGTTTATTTGTGTGGAAATCTTCTTTCCATTTGAATTCTTAA